TCTAGTGGTTAAAGCACCAGGCTTTTTTAAAAAAATGGGAGACGGTGAGTTCTAGTCCAGCCTTGGGCTGAAAGCCAGCTGGGCGACTTTGGGCTAGTCGCACTCTCTCTCCACCCTAGGAAGAAACCAATGGTAAACCACTTCCAAAAAAAAAAAAAAATTGCCAAGAAAACTGCAGGGACTTGTCCTCCATGCTATCGCCAGGCTTCAAGATTGACTTCAAGGCATGCAAACAAAACAAATAAAAGAATGACTAAAAACCAGCCAAGGATTAGCCAAGCTGTTATGAGAGAGAGAGAGGTAGAGCCAGATCAAGTCACAAATTGGTGGGTCTGTGGCAGCACGTTGCCCCAGACCTTCCCACGGCTTTCTTGGGAGGAAAAGCGCGTGACGTGTCGCCCAAGGCTGCGAAGAAAGGAGAACACGCCACCCAAGAGCCGAGCCACGCCCCCCACGCCTTTCCTCCAGCTACTCTCTTAAGGGGCGCTACGCGGCGAGAAGCCCGCGTCATCATCCTCCAGACGCATCGCCCGGCCCTCGCTCCGCGCTTTCCTTTCTCTCTCTCTCTCTCTCTTTTCTCCCTCGACAGATCCAAGCCGCTACCAAGCGAGCGTCGGCCTCTAGAGGGCACTGTGGCTCCGTCTTGCACTCCTCGAGGCCGACGGTGGGACAGCCCAGGGAACAACGCTGAGGGAGGAGCGAGCTCGGCCAGAATCGGCTCCAATGAGCGAACAAAGCTCCCCGCGTCCGCTTCTACCCAAGCCCGCTTTCTCTTTTCTCTCCTATCGCCTTTCCTCAGTTACAAAGCAAGAAAACGGGCAACCTTCCTTTTTCCGCCTCGGTATAATCGAGGCAAGAGGCGCTGCCAACCACTCCACACGATCACATCTGTTGCTCGCTCTGGCGCGGGGCTGAAGGCGCCTCAAAGGTTTCTTTCTGGAGCAACTGCAGGGTGGCATATCGCGGGCCAAGCTGGCACCGGCCGACAGCACGGGTGGGACGAGTCCCATACTGTAGTAGACCCACTACTGGAAAAAACGCGGGGCGGATTACAACACCCTCGTTAAAATCCACCGCTATTCCCAGGTTCAAGCCGCGGCGAGGGACCCAGGCGGGCCAGGAAGTGTGCCAATTTACGTTTCACACACGCAACGCCTTCTCCCCGCATTCTCATCCTAAAGCCGCCGAATTTTAGAAGAGCATCTGCGTTAAGCGGGCCACAGCGAAAGGGAATATAGAAGAGGCCACCAGAGCCCAAGCTGTTAAGCTACCGTACGAGCAAAGCCAGCCAAGCAAGATGGAGAAGGACAATTTACGCACGACAGCCCCTTCCCCTCTATAACGCGGACAACACTCCAGCGCCCCTAACCTCAAATCTTGCTTTTAGGTCTCTCCGGCAGTTCTATTGCGATCAACTAGATCTCCCTTAGGCGCCAAAGGCGGAGGTGTGTGTGTGGGGGGGGGGGGGGGGCAACAGCCCCTTAAAGTACAGGAAACCGCGGGAGAGCACATTCAATCCGACCACCAAAGCACATACAAGCCAAAAAAAAAAAAAAAAAAGGATGGTGGTAAATTAGCGTTCCTGCGGAGACCAGCTAGGAAGAAGACACCATCCAGCAGGCAAGCATCTCGCATTGTCTCCCCACCACCACTGCATTACACATAGAACCGATTCAAAAAAAAGAAAGAAAAAGAAAATGAAATCCCACATAATCACGGTGCCAAAAACAGCCAGTATTTGTTTCTAAAGAGAGAGTTGTGATCGGTTGAACAGCCATTCGCCCCCCTCCCGGAAAGAGAAAGGGGGCAGCAGAATAAATACATTGCACTCAGCCCAGAAAGCAGTTAACAATCCATTAGCCGCTTCCTCTTCTTACCTGTCCGTTCGCCTTGGAAGGAGATGCAGCTACCGCTTCTCCGGGTTTTTCAGCAACAGTAGTTTCGCCTTTTGCAGCGTTCTTAGAGAACTGGGCGCCCATGCTGGTTTATTCAACAAAGAAACTCGGCAGATCCAAAAAGAAGGCAAACAAAGAACAGTAGGTTCGTTCGTATAAAATGCTGGGCGACCAGCAGCCTGAAGAGCAGCGATATACACACACGCGCGCGCGCGCACACACACTCACACACCAGTGGGGGAGGAGGGGGGGAAAAAGAGAAGAGAGCCGAATATGTTTAAATATATGCACTCCTTTTTTTTTAATAAAGCTGGAGAGGTCACAAAAAGACAGCAGCAGAGGAAGAAAGAGGGATAAAAAGGCAGGAAAATAGTCGAGCAAAAATATCAGAAGCCCAAGTTTAGTACAAAAAAAAAAGGAGAAGTAATAAAAAAAAAAATTCCCAGATTTGTAGCCGTACTGTAGACAAGGGGAAAATGGAGAAATCTCCCTGGTCGCTAATAAGATGCGGAGTCCAACGCCCAAGTGCACAGATGAATGGGCTTCCCAAGCACTGACGGCAGCCCCCACCCGCCGTCCACCAATCAACGCGCCGCCAGACAAAAGAGAGGGCGGGGCCTCCAATTGGAGCGAACAATGGAGCTGGGATTGCAATAATTTGAATTCGGCCTTGGACTGATAATTAATACTCCGAAGAACATAAATAAATTAGTGGCATTAAGACTTGTGCTCTGATTTCTTGCTAAAAAGAAAAATCGAAGGATACACGGTGTTTACTGCCCCCTGCCAAATGCTCCGTAAAAAAATAATAATAATAAAGGGGAGGGGGGGGGAAGGATTTTGACTTGCAGGGTTGGTAGCCTCTGTTTGGTGTCTTGAGTCTCTCCCCCTCCCCACCCGTTAAGTTAGAGACAATGGTTTGACTTGTGTGCGTTTGTGATTTCATTTTCTCGCCCCCGCTGCCGCCCCCTCTATTCCTCCTCCTGCCCACTCCAGCTTCTTAAAAAACAAAAAAACAAAAAAAATCAACAGATAGGGAGGGTTGGTCCTTTCCCCCCTTTAATTGGTTGCAATTGTTCAATTCTCCCAATTTGGAAGGTATTTAAACCACGTAGATCGGGTTTCGCTAAGGGAGATCGTGAGTTGAAAATTATGAGGTCTGTAGGCCAGATGTGAAAAATGCTTTAAGCAGCTGCCGCTGTTACCTTGGCGGTAGAACGCTTAATCCCTTCCCCCAACAATACGGAGTGGGGGGAAAAAATGCGAGGAGCCTACAGCTCTAATTAAATTTCGCTGCCTGATTAGTTCTGATTTCAATCTTTTTTGGAAACTGCCGAGAATGCGAAACTTTTTTTTTTTTTTAATGAGGAAGCTAGTACCGTAGGAATGTCGGTTTCTCCGTGTGTGTCTAAATAGCATCCACGTGTAACTGAAAAAGGCTTCCAACTCAATGGAGCTCAAATCTAAATCGTTTTATATGTTGCTTGTCGGAGCCATGATGGTTTGTATTGTATGACAATGCCAAGATTCTGGATTTCGAAAGAAAGATGGGGGGGGGTGTTTCGTCTTAAGAGCAAGAAGCAGCCGGATCCTATCAAGAGCGTCTCATTTCCCTACAACCCCATCCATGCCAGTGCGAGCAGATGCGCTTAACTGCTTAATCCTTGCTGAGTTGCTTCTTCTATCCCTTGGATTTAAATCACTACAGCGGAGCCATAGGAAACGTCGGAGAAAAAAAAAAAAATCTCGCTTCGTTGCTTGCAAAGCACATACCAAGGGGGTCGAGCGAATTACATATATTCCCCCGGAAACGTTAAGAAGCCGGTGGGCTGTTTGGGGAGGGGGAGAAAAAGGTGAAGAATTCAAGATTAATGGCATGTACTTTTTCCTCTCCTCCCCACCCCCTCCTGCTTCATTGTGTGATGAGTGCAGATTTATGCATTTGCCGCTATTCAGACCCCAAGCCCCTCTCCCCGGTACTGCCAACATTTTAGTATTTTTAGCAAGATGGCACTCGGTCAAGGAATATTTCAATTCTAGCGGGCAAAATTCACCACAAGGCATTTTTTTTTTGGTTTGTTTTTTGTTTTTTGTTTTTTTACATCAAACTCCTCCTTCCTTCCTCATTGCCATTTCTCCCCCGCGGTATTCTTTCAGATACAATTCCTTTCTCCAGTTTAATCTACTCCGGGAATATGGATCTCCGGATGAAAAGCCTTTCGTGCAAAACGCGTTTCTTTTTATTCTCATCTTCATTCCCCCCCCCACTCTTTTTAGAAAGGGGAGGGAACACGTTGTTTCAATTCGATGAATTATTCACTCTCTCTCCATTTTCCCTAAAGCTGCCTTTTTTTTCCTTTTTTTTTTTTCTTTTTTGGCAGACATGCATAGTGCCAACAAGCATGGCTTATCGTCCTTTAGGGAACCCGGCCAGGCAGTCGGCAAAGCTATAGTGGAAAGAAAACCGACCCCTTTTGTGAACATGTGGCACTCCCGTCCGATAAATCCATTAACATCCAAGGCGCTTGTAAAATGCACTTTGGAGCCTGTTGATTTTCTTCACTGGGGGAAAGGAAAGGGAGAAAAAAAGGGGGTGGGGGAAGCACCGCGGTTACGTTCCATCTGCATTATCTGGTCTCTCTTGGTTCAAATTGCTGCGAATTCCGTCTAGAAGGCGGCGAGAGGCTTCTCTTCCAGCATCTGCATCAAAAGGGGTGGAGAGGACAAACTGAGCTAGTCTGGGTTGTGTGTGTGTGTGTGTGTTTTTTTTCTTTCCTCCCTCCCTCCCTCCTTTCCTTTCCTTTCTCTTAGTCTCATTTGAGAAGCTCGGCTCCTTTATTGCTTCTTTGTTACCGGCTGCATTGCTTTTTCAGGGTGCCTATTTACACGGTATCGGCTAGTTTCCTAGGTGACGGCCGGGGAAGATTCGCGAGGGAGGGAGGGAGGGAGGGAGGGGCTCGCGTGAGCCAGGCGCTAGAGGAGAAGGGTTGCTGAAAAGCCCAACAGATGGACCCTAAAGGGGAGGGAGGGAGGGAGGGAGGGCGGAGGAAGATGGGCTGACCCCCAGGCGGCGGGGAGGAGACTCCAAGAGGGACCGGTTGAGAGCCGAAGGAGCGGTTGATCCCAGTCACATGAACGGGATTCTTCCGTGGCTCGCTCGGTTTCCTCGCCTTGTCTTGGAAACGCACCTTATGGCGGGGGGTTACCGTCAGGAATAACGTCTTGGACTTGGAGGGTTGCTGTAAGAGAAGACGCGGCTGGCGAGACTTGGAATCCTTTATCTCTAGGCCTTTAGAAACAAAGCAGATGAGAGGAAAATGGCGGGAGGTGGAAGAGAGGAAAACGGGGGAAAGAGAAGATAAAAACCACACATGTATTAGGAAACGAGAGAGAAAGAGAGAGAGGGGTAGACGGCGGTCTTTCATCAAACGCCTGCTTTTTCAGGCGCTGTAGATTCATCGCCTTTTTGGGAATTATGTGAATTCATGGCTTCAGACATCTGGCCAGTTTAGTGCACAATTTCTTCTGTTGTGGTGCAGAAGATCTTTTTAGATAAACTTGAGAAGAATCGGCGCCTCTTTCTTTCTGTTGCAATTCTGTGGCTGCTCTTGAGGAGCAAGATTCGGGAAGCCTGGAATTTTCTGACATGGATGTCATCTCTACATCTTGCCCGCCTGCCTGCTGTTGATTGGCAATGGAGAGGATTTAGTTGCTTTAAAAAAAAAAAAAGCATACAAGTATTCTACAGTATTCCTTAAAAGCATCGAAGCAGCTTATACATCTATTTTTTTTTACTATTATTAGCCTTGTTATCTTTACAGTGACAACCAAAAGTCACTGGTTGAATGAAGATTTGAATCTGAATCTGCAATTAAAGTTGTTTCACAACATGCTTACCTGTAGCTAGCTAAACCATGGTTTCCTGAATTGCTCCAATTGTGTGTCCTTGCTCAACATATGTTGAACCACTAGATAACCACGTTTGGCTAGATCCACACACAGCAGGTGGAGTCATAAACTAACCAAGGGTTAGTCCTGAGTTTTATAAATCCAGCCAATGGCTCTTAATGTTTTACTGGGTTGCTCTTGCAGATATACATTTTTAGTAAAGTTTAGGTTAGAATTGCTCATGGAAGGAGGGGTGAGAAAATAAGTGCTTTGAGGGAAAGGTGAATTCCACTGCTTCACTCTGAGGCCTCCATTGGTTCCTATAAATAAGACAGCCAGCTTGCTGCTTTGATTTATATCCTGCCTTAGATTTAAGAGGCATACACAGTGCTCCTTTCTTCTAGTTGTCTGTTGGAAGAACAGCCCTATTAGAAAGGGGCCTGACACTGACAAGTGAGCATCCATGTCTTTAGCTAAACTTAAATCTAGTCTTCCTTGTCCTCATCCAATACCTTCATCACTGCACCTGCTCTCAAATTATATTTTCCAAGTGGAATGTGCTATTAACATTTTTACCAGTCAAAACAGCCCGCAAAACTATTTTATGTTTCCACCTTTATGCACACTTATTAGCAGCAAGTGAATGAGAGTAGGGTTTTTTTTTGCCAAACATCAAGAAAGATGTGTGTATAACTTTTTTTAAAAGGTTGAGTATCAATATTATAAGAGGTCTGGTGGAAATAATAGGAAATGGAAAGGTAAAAAGAAAGGATCACTTAAACATTCATTTAACAGTCATGCTACAAATCTCCAATAAATGTGTTAAAAGCATCAGCCATCAATGTATCATGCCTTATTCCCTATGGGTTTTGCAGTGCTTAATTAACTGAGATATAAACATAAGATATATACAGAGAGAACGCTTAGGAGTCCCAGCAGCAAGTAGATGCCGTATGGAAAATTTATTTTCTGATCCTGAATACATTATGAGGAGATAGTATCAATGATTTTGGAATTTTGCTTTTGCACAATCCTATTTATTCCATTTGTGTCCTTTTTTTCTTCAGGCACTCTGGAGAAGTATCTGCAGTGCCACCTTGTTGCATAAGACTGGGAGATGTTATGTAAGTCAGTCTGCTTCAGAGTGTGTCAGCCACAGCATTCCTAGCCCCTACACAGAGGTAGGCAAAGCCCAAACCTAAGACTTTGGTGTTGCTGCATTTTCAGTTGACTTTATAATTACTTTTAAAACATAAACCTGGATACAGTGTACCTGGATAAGGTACAATTCCACCTTTTAAGTTGTTAAATATGGAATTATGTTTGGGATACCTAAGAAGAAAGCAAAGGCACTTTCATTTTTTGGGGTTAATATTGTTAATAGCAGAACTTGCAGCTATGGCATTTCCTACCAAAAGAAAAAGAAATTAAAACTTGTCACACCTACTAGTGTAAAAAATAACTATCCTAAATCACAGCCACATGCAAGAAGTAGGGTGGAAATTGTAACTTTGTCTCTGTGGTCTCATAGACATCTGAAGTCTTCTATGATGTACAACCAGGTATGGACTTTGGATGCAAAATTGTTGCTCACTTCTGGCCTCTGTTCATTGACCGAAGTTTTCCATGGTTTTAGAAGAGTTTTTCCCCCAACTCCAGTGATGTAACAAACAGGAGATAATTAATGATTGAATTGGTAGATTCCTTCAGGTTCTCTATCATTGACTCAAACTGGGGTTAAGCCTTGTGGAAAGCCATGTTTTGAATATGTTTTATTAATTAAATTACAATTAGCAGGGTTGTAGTTTATGGTTTACAGTTTATTACACTGTACTAATTTAAGTCTCCACATTGTTCTTAAGGACCATTATACTGGACATTCAGAATTGTTTACATTGATACAGATAAGAAAAAAAGAGAGAGAAATGTGTGCTTAATTGCAGTAGAAATGGTCAAACATGGATCACCCTTGCAACACCTACCAGTGTTGTCTGTGGATAGAATGATATCTGCTAATTCTCCCTAGTTTTAAAGGAATAAAACAGTAGAAGACACGTTTGGTCAATTGTAATCGATTTATCTCAATAGTGTCACATAGGCCAGCCAGGCAAATTGTAAAATTGATGGTGTTCTAGCATTCAGACTTCCAAATTCAGAGTTCAAATGTCACCTGGTGACTGGGTGGTTTAATTGTGTTACCCATCAGTAAAAAATAGCATTGGAATTTTAGCATGCTGTTATATGTGGGCAAAAATGCAGCTAGAGATAATAAACCAACTTAGTACATTAAAAAGTGCTATACATGTGATTAATTATCATTAATCATGCCAAGTTACAAGTGTTATATTCTAAGGGGAGTATATCCTATAAAATGTGCTATAAATATCCATTTTCACTGTTCTTTGTGCTGCGAGCCAAGTTCAACATTTTTATTTTGCAGAAAAGGGACTCAGATTCTTAAATGGCTTACTGAGATCAAATGTTACATAATTAACACACACAGACAAGACACATTTTGAGTGCCACAACCTCCCATTTGAAGCTTTTAAATGTCACTCCACAAATCAAGAATACGCAGAAGCATACTATAAACCAGTGCTTTTCATCCTTGGCAACTTTAAGATGTGTGAATGTCAACTCCCAGAATTCCCCAGCTAGCCATACTGTTTAAAGAATTCTGGGAGTTGAGGTGCACACATCTTAAATTTGCCAAGGTTGAAAAACACTGCTATAAATCAATATGTGGTTGTTTATGGTGTGAAGTTTTAAAGGGAGCTTCTTCAAAAGAAGGGCATATTTGAAGGCAGTTTTGTTTTTGGTCACCAGTTACAGTACTCGGAAAGAGCACAAGTCCTGGGAGGACTTTGTGTATTAAAGGGTAGTCAAATCCACTTGCCTGTTGTATGTAACAAATGTTTCAGACATGTTGCAACATGGAGAAACAGGATAGGCAACAGTAATTGACCCTGGAGAAGTAGCAACAAAATCACTTTGGGTTTCATAGAAATAAAAAGCAGGAGATAGGTGATTATCATTTTAAAATTGTATTAAGTTCCAATAGCAGAAGTATAGAAGTATAAAGAAGCTGGGATTAAAATTTGCATTGATTCTCTTTTAAAACACTTGACTCTAAAAAGTGTTAATATAATTATGATGCTATGTTCAGGCATCAAGCTGAGCTCAAATGTGATTAGGGTTTAGTGTGTTACATGAGCATAGTTGATGTGAGTTATTCAACAAACTGTGGTTGAGGCACTGTGGGAGGGAAGGTCATCATCCATGACCTTCTGAAGCAGGATTGGCCAGTATGCAAAATATTTCCCTGCTGTTTCCTAAAGCTAGGGAATGATAATGAAGAGGGATCATGGGATGGCTATGTAGTTGGACAGTATAGAAGTAGAAAACTTGGCAATGCAGCCACTGCCTTGCCTCATAATTCTTTTTTTATTTCCAATTTCCAATTTATATTTATTTATTTATTTCCAATTTATATTTCCAATTTTTGATTGTTTTGGCAGGGAGGAAAAAATACCCAAAATAACACTGATGATTGCGCAGGGAGAGTGGCACAGTTGCTACTTGATTCACATCTGAAGAGTTGCACTTTGACTTCAGGAAGGGAAACATTGATTTCAGTTGACACATCCATCTTCACCCATCTTACTAAATACCTTGCTAAATGCAACTCAGGCAGACTAACAAAAATTAAAAACCAGTACATTAAATTAGGAACAACCAGAGCATGCCATGGCCATCAAGGAAACTCTGCAACCTATAGTACAGGTTCAACTATTCTCCTGATCCCCATGCCAGGTTTTCTGAAAGACCTGCAGCAAGTGAAATTGGCCAACTTAACCTTGGGTGTTATGGTGTTGCAAAGGAAGGGTGTCACATAAGAAAGTGTTCTTCTGCTGTAAGAGATTTTTGTAAGGCAGGAGTCATCACAAAGTTCCAGAGGGCATACTTCCAGCCTCTCTATTTTCTGTGTAGTGGTTTTCCAAGAATTATGCATTCCCATAGTATGACATTGACACAGTGGTAGTGTTAGTTTAAGGCTGATGCAGCCCTCATTTTTGGAAGAGACTTGGTATCAGTTTTCAATTTGGAAAAGAGATTCAGGGAATATCTTTCTACATGTGCAAAGCAGCATCTGAAATTATCTAAATTGATTCAGATGTCAAGTTAATTTGGCAAGTTAATTTGAATCAGAGTTTTGATTCCTCACACTGAATAGTTACATAGCCATAATGGTCTCTGATGAAACACAACATATCCAAAACATGTATTAGAAGATTGTAAAGGGAAAACTTTCTCACGGCTTGGATCACATAAACTATTTGGTGCAATTTATGTTTTTTTTAATAACTGAGTTCCCAAAATAAAATTCCAAAAGTTCCATGACATTTTTTCACATAAAATTATTTCTTTTTCCCCTCCCAGCATTGTATAGAACAATTCAATATTATTATCCATGATATTAAAACTTAGATTGAGCCATTCACCAACATTTACCAGCATGAAGAGCCATGGTAGTGCAGTGGTTATAATGTAGTATTGCAGGTAACTCTGCTCACAGCCAGGATCTTGACCGGCTCAAGGTTGGCTCAGCCTTCCATCCTTCCAAAGCTAGTAAAATGAGGATTGTTGAGGGAAATAGTCTGACTCTGTCAACCGCTCAGAGAATACTATAAAGCACTATGGAACAGTATATAAGTCTAAGGGCTATTGCTATTTACCTTTATAAAACAAGTTCAGAATCAGGTGCTATTCAGCAGGTTCTGACAGATTCTGGAGAACTGGTAGCGGAAATTTTAAGTAGTTTGGAGAACTGGCAAATACCACCTCTGGCTGGCCCCAGAGTGGGGTGAGAATGGAGATTTTGCAGTATCCTTTGCCTGCCACGCCCACCAAGCCACACCATGCCCACCAAGCCACGCCCACAGAACCGGTAGTAAAAAAATTTTGAATGCCACCACTGTTCAGAATGGTTTCCTAAGGAGCTCTGCATTGTTTGTATGTCTCATATAATAAGATAACAGTTCAATACACCATCACAATGTTTACCTTACATCTGTTAGTCTAAGGACAAGGATTCTTTTCATTAGGAGATACAATAGTCATTCCTGTGAATGTATTCTTTACTTCTTTACACAGATTTCCCTTAGCCAGTTTGGTTAAATAGTTAAGGCTCCAGGCTAGAAAGCAAGAGACTGCTGAGTTCAAGTTCTGCCTTAGCCATGAAAACCAGCGGGGTGACTTGGGGTCGGTCACTCTCTCTTAGCCCAACCCTCCTCACAGAACGGTTGTTGTGGGGAAAATAGGAAGAAGGTGTGTTGGATATGTTTGGCATCCTGAAGTTATTTGTAAAAATAATAAAGGCAGGATAAAAATAAAATAAAATGATAAAATAAAATGACCTATCTTTGCGTGGGTTGGGAATCTCAATCATATCTAGTCATGTTGGCTGGGAATTTTAGGATTTTTAATCCCAATATATATCTGGAAAACATCTAGTTGAAGAAGCTTGCCTTAACATTCGTTAATATTTCTGTGTAGGAAAATATGTGATCGCCCAAGCGGTTATGTCTGTCATATATCTCATGCCTTTTTCCAAAAGGCATTGGTTGGGTTCATTATTCATTTGAATTTAAATTATCATGCTAATGAATAATGGTATGGTATGTTTAGTTTTAGCACAGCATTTTGTGTAAAGCCAGGCATCATGGCATAGGATATAGCTTAATGCAGTACCTGAACCCAGTTATGATGGCTTTTAAAGTAAGTCAGGCTTAAAACATACTATGGCTTCATGTAATGCATAATCCCAAGTACCAATAAAGGAGAATATTTGTAGCTCAGGGTTGAAATGAGGGGACCTTAGTGCTTTTTGAGCTTGCTTGTTTTATTGCAGACATTTCATTACCCTAACTAGGTAACACTGCTAGCACTGATGATGTTATCTAGTTAGGGTAATGAGAGGTCTGCAAGAAAACAAGCACAAGGACCTCTCATAATCCCAAATCTCTGTACAGAGATCCATTTATAGTACACTGCTTGGTGCATTCTGCATGTATTTTTGTGGGATGAAATTCCTTTTAAATTCAGTGGGAAGGCTGGCTATCCACCATTCTATTGTTCTTACTTAAACAAAAAACATTTGTAAGGAATATTCATTTGGCTTGAGTTGTTCTTTGGAAATAAAAATAAATGGCCAAGTTGTTGAGCTTTGCAGAACTCTTGAACCACCGAAAAAGAACATTTAACAATCAAGATGTGAGACATATATAAATATAACTTTTTTCAAGTGTTAACAGTTTTATTAACTTATAAATATAAGATACAAAAATACGAAAGCAAATAGTAGGAAACAGAAGGGAGGGGAAGGGGAAGAGAGAAGTATAGAGAAAAAGGGAAAAAAGAAAAAAAAAGGCATTGACTTCCGACTCCCTCTGGGGCAGTAGAATAAGCCATTAACATCAAACCTCAACTTTTTATTTTTCCATAATAGTATAAACTAGCCATTTCTATAACAACAAATTATCTAATCAATAAAACCCAAAATCAAAGTTTCATTCTTTTCACCTCAAGCACAAAGTCCAGAAGTGGTTTCCAAGTAGAAACAAAAGTACTTATATTCTTTTTTTTTTTTTATGAAAACAGTCAGTTTAGCCATCTCTGCTAACTTCATCAACTTTTGCAGCCATTTGTCCATTGTAGGAATTGAAATATCCTTCCATTTTTGTGCATAAAGTAGTCTTGCTGCCATCAACATATATAAGATAAAAATTCCAATTTTCCCACAAGTCTTTTTCCATTAAGCCCAGAAGAAAAGTTTATGGTTTTATCTTTATATTCACTTTGAGAATTTTCTGTATTAGAATATGAATCCTACTCCAATATTTATTTGCTTTATCACATGTCCACTATACATATAAATGTAACTTTTGACTTGAATTATTTTAGAATGCTTGCCATTTGATATTTTTATTGGGCCACAGGTCTATGGCAACCTATCTTAATTGTGGCAATTTTCAGGATAAACTTTAACCAGAATTCTATAGCCAGCATACTATTAATTAAAATAGTGGGAGTTGAAGTCCACACACCTTGGAATTGACAAAGTTGGGAAATACTGGCATAAATAATTGGTGTAAATTAACCCAGAGCACCTGCCACGAAACATGTTCAGAATTTGGCTTTATAATCACGGTAACATAATAGGGTTTGGCTCAGTGGTGGGTTGCTCCTGGTTCGCACCGGTTTTTACCGGTAGTAAAAAAATTTAGTAGTTCGGAGAACCGGTAATAACTTTGGCTGGCCACGCCCCCGAACTGGTCCCTGGCCCAGTCATCACTCACTTACCACGGCCACTTCATCAGAGGCTTCTTTTTTTTTTAACTTTTAAAAGCATTTTTTCTACAATCTCTTCGGCTGGAAAAAATGCTTTTAAAAGTTAAAAAAAAAGCCTCTGATGATCGCACGGCTCAGCTGGGATCTCAGAGGCTTTTAAAAGCATTTTTTTCTGCAACCTCTTCAGCTGAAGAGGTTGTAGGGAAAAAAAATGTCTTTAAAAGCCTCTGGCGATCCCAGCTGACTTGCCTGATTGTCAGAAGCTTCTAAAAGCATTTTTTTCTGCAACCTCTTAAGGTTGTAGAAAAAATGCTTTTAAAAGTTAAAAAAAAAAAAAAAGTTGACCACGCCCACCCAGTCACATTACCCCCCCCCACAAGCCATGCCCACAAAATAAGCCACGCCCACAGAACCGGTAGTAAAAAAATTTAGAACCCACCCCTGGTTTGGCTGGAAAACATAAAAAAAAAAAAATCAAAATATATTCAAATAGTGTTAGGGAGTGCTTCATGTTGGAGGTGGTTGATAGATTAATATCAGATCCCACCTCCCCCCCCCATTCTACTCTCTTCTTCCCTATCTTTTAGCTACTATGTTTTGTATTTTATATTTTTGTAGTATTTTATTTATATAGCTTTATCTTTTAAGAGTTACCCTGTGGTATGATGAGCAGCCAAAATTTTTGATAAAATAAATAGAAGTAGTGCTAATGGGACTGAAACCACAACTCACTTTGAAATGGAGAGATGGCTGAAGGTATAAAGGTGACCAATCACAGAGCCATGCTTGCTGTTTCACCAAAGCTAAGAGCATTTTTCCCCACTAGGACAGTCTCATATACATTACTTGAATATGGTGTGGTGTGAACCAGATCTGTTGTGAATCAAGGAATAACTATTGTTTAATTACTTGGCATATGATACATGATTCAGAAATGGAGTATTCTGTAATAATGTCTCAGTTCAGAATGTGACACCACGGGAAACAGATAACTAGAAGCAGGAAGCTAGAATTGGTAAATCTAAAATGTTTTTAAGAGTCCTCTGCTTTGTGGGAAACAATTGCTTCGTGGGAAATGATTTAAGAATATGTTTCTCATACATTTTCTTGTACATTTTGTAAATAAATTCCCAGTGATCATTCCTATCCAGACAAAACCTAGCTATGTAGCTCTACCCCTGGACTTCTCTTCAGTCAGGAAAAAAGGGTACTTTTATTTTTGGAAAAAAACTTCCAGTATTAAAAATTTGTGGAAAGACTTAATTCCCCAACATTGTAATTAATGGCGAAACTCATGTACCACACATTGCCAGCTTTTATTGATAAGGTCCATTGCTTGTGAAGCAAAAAATTTATATGTGTAATGGAATTTAGAGCTGACATTGAGAAGGTATGAGAGACCTTTTAAGAAAGTCTTGGACGTGCCAGAGATAGAAGCAGGCATGAGAAAGAAATTCAAAATAGCCCCCCCCCCATGATTTTGGCCCTGTTTTCAAGATTCTGTTATAGCTACAACAATACAGGTGGTCCTCAACTTACGACCACAATTGAGCCCAAAATTTATGTTGTTATGTGAGAACTTTGTTAAGTAGCTTTGCCCCATTTTATGATTTTTCTTGTCACAAGTGCAGTTGTTAAATTAGAAACAGGGTTGTTAAGTGAATCTAGTTTCCCCATTGAGGGGATCACATGATTCCAGGACGCTGCAACCATCATAACTATAAATCAGTTGTCAAGCATCCGAATGTAAAACCCGTGACCTTGGGGATGCTAGAACGGTCATAAGTGTGAAAAATGGTCATAAGTCACTTTTCAGTGCTGTTGTAGGTTGAGGACTACCTGTAAAGGAGCATTCTTAAAATCCTTGCAGTATCTATTTCTTGACTTGGCCTACTTGAAAAGACTGGTGACATAAATGTATAATACCATATTTTCCTGAAAATAAGACCCTGTCTTATATTTTTTTGAACCAAAATAAGTGCTTGGCCTTATTTTCAGGGATGTCTTATTACCTTGGGGCGCGTAGAGCAAGATGGGGCTCCTCTTGCCATCTTACCTGATTTCCAGCTCTGTCTCCCTAACCCTAACCAGAGAAAATGTCAGGGACCAGCTGCGCATGCTTTTAAATACTTTCAGGAAGGGCTTATTTTGGGGGGGGGCTTATTATCAGGGGATGTCTTATTTTAGGGGAAACAGGATAAAAATCGTCATGACATTACATGAAATGCTATTTCTGGCTTGCCCAACTTGAGGTACCAAAGTCAAGAGTTCATTCATCCCTGTTGAGGTTTCCTCTCTGGTGACCTTCCTTTAGATGCCAGAACACATTCTCTCATGGACACTGGAGTTCTTGACTTCTCTCTTCAAGCACAGAGTTGGACTAATTAGATTGCAATACTCTTCAATTTTTTTACCATATTTTTGAAAACAGAAATTAAATGAATTGGTTGAAAGAAACCAAATTGAAGAAATCTGGATATGTCACTCCTTATAAAACTTAAAATACACATCTAGCTCTATTTGATATATATGACTGTGCCCCCTCCCCCAAATACGATCTAATCTGCAAAATGGAAAGTCTACCATTTTCTCCTCAGAGAGGTATGTATGTTAACAGGGAATATTGAAAGAAACAGTGGCTACTGAGAAGCATAAATCAATATAGCTTTTCCTCTCCCTTAGATGAGCCTTAGAAATTCAACATCTTTTCCTCAGGCTGAAGGCAAAGCTCCCTTCTTACCCACTGGACTGCAGATGGGTTGCATCAATCCTCAAGCAATGCATGTGGTTCCCCTTCTGACAAAAGCAGATGGCTATTCCCTTTAGTCAAATTTCTATGCTCTTGTTACCAGATGGCACACAAAATGTTTGATATACCAATGCAGAATGATCCAAGTCTCCTTACAAGGATCATCCATGCCCCTAAGTATCTATCCGTTCATTGTCATCATCCATCATATAGATAATACAACTTGATAATTTATTCTGGAATGTATGATGTTAAATTCCATGTTTTCTTTTGTTTTTTTACAGAAAAAAATGTTACATTTGTAAAACTAGCACAATAAACTTTCTTACCATTACAAAACCCAAAATATTCTGGCTTTATCTTTAGAATTTTTGAAATACATAGATATTCTCTAAACCCGGCACATTTGCCCACATTTACAAGAAGTGGCCCTAAATCTGATGATTGGAAATTCCCGAGTCCCAGCTAATCAGGAGGAAATGGGGATTTTGTAGTAACCTTTCCCTGGAGTGGGAGGGAATGGAGATTTTACAATATCCTTCCCCTGTCATGCCCACCAAGCCATGCCACGCCCACAAAGCCATGCCCACAGAACAGGAAGTAAAAAAATTTGAATCCCACCACTGTACTGAAAGAAGGAGATTAAAGATCTATTTGAAAGGCAAAATCTAAGCAATATTAGTGGGAGAAAGATAGGCGGCAGATAAAACTTAGAGATCTCTGGCTATGAATAATTATGGGACAAATTTGTGTCTGTATCTCCCCATTTAATAATTCTTTCAGTATGATAAAGACTCATGTATAACAAGAGAAAAATATAATATAGGAGACGTTTCATCAGAATCTTCTTCTAGATAGGATTAAGAATGTGTCTTCCAGAATTGATAGGATCAAAATTAGCAATGCAGAATGAAGTGTAGCCTTAGACTGAGAAAGAAAAACCAACTGTGTAGCTTCATTACAATCTAGTCATTCATGTCTGGTCTATAGAAATTAAATTTTCAGTGTTTTATTTTACAGGCTTCATGAGTGTCGTTTGGTATAGCTAATATGAAACTATATACGAAACTCGGTCTTGGCTACGTGAGTGAGTGTGTCACTGAAAGATACCATCAACAGAAGAGGAGGACTTCTTCCTATCCACAAAATGCACTAACTAGTTTTGGGTGGGGGTGTCAGAGTTTGTTGCAGAAATCACTTCCAGAAAGCAAACACAGATAACTGATTCAGCAGGATTCGTTAACTTCTTTATATACATAATAACACATGTGTAAATGTACAATACCAATAGCAGATTCTTCCAATGTGGTAGCAGTTACAAGCAAAACACAAGCAGAGTACAGCCGACTAGTTTCAGTTCTCAGCACACAGACTAGACCAGACTTGTTTGCTAAGCCACGCCCAGGCTCCCAACTGGTTTCAGCTTCCATTGGCTGACTTAGTTGCTATGCCTATTCATTGGCTGACCTTGTTACCATGTCTTCCCAGTTATGAATACTCTGACAGGGGGAGCATGCAGGGCCTCAAGGTATTTTACATGAAACTTTTTCATATATTCCTCTGAAGCTCTTGTGGGGAGCGGGATAGAGCTATACAAACTGGTCCTATCCATAAACGGTGATGAAACTATAAAATAAAGTATAAAATGTGCAATCCTCATCCTTTTGAATCTGTGTTTCAGTGTTAGGTGCCAGTACATGTAGTCCTCGACTTACAACAATTCATTTAGTGACCAAAGTTACAAAAAATGACTTAGGACCATTTTTCACACTTATGACTGTTGTAGCATCTCCACGGTTCTGTGATTTACAATGCTTGAAAATTGACTCACATTTATGACGGTTGCAGTGTCCCAGAGTCATGTGGTCCTCTTTTGTGACTTTCTGGCAAGCAACATCAATGGGAAAACCAGATTTACTTAACAAACGTGTTATTAATTTAAAAACTGCAGTGATTCACTGCACATTAAAAGTCGTAAAATGGGGCAAAACTCACCTAACAAATTCTCACTTAACAATATAAATTTTGGGCTCAATTGTGGTTATAAACTGAGGACTACCTGTATATAAGTCATGGAACTTGTGCTGTGATGCCACAATTAATACTTTGTCATTTGTCCTTCACCCAGCCACCTGGTTATCTGTCATCCCCTCTCTCTGTGTAACTTCTCTACTTTCTCCTTTTTCAACCTAACTGCAAGTTCTGAAATAATATGGAAATTATGAATCTCCATTTCATTTTGGAAACTTAGAGACTTGCAATTCTGAGAATGAACGGAGGACAAATGGAAGGAATAAAGGCTACGGACAATAATACATTAATCACATATGTAATGTTTTAATCATAGAACAGGGAATTGCAGTTGATCGATCTTGCTCAACCCTTATTACAGATAGCAACCTGAAGTGGAATCATTTTCCATGACTTTGTATAGTTTGGCAAAGACTTGAATAAAACACTTATTCTCTTATCAACTCTTATCAACTGGCATCAGAAATCAAAATTCTAACTGCTTGATTGAGATATTTTGTTATTTGTTTTTCACCAGTTTTTGAAAAGTTTATCTTCTGGTTACAGGAACTCAAAAGTTAAATGGATTACTGTAATACAAAAGCATGCACATATTGCCATTCGTTTTAATGAGGTTTTATATGGAGAACGTCCCAATGGATGATTTACCTTGGAAACATGTATGTCCATAGCCATGTGTAGAATTTAGATTTTTTTCCTTGGGCCCTAGAAATCCTGGAACCAATGCTGATGAACAAAGAAATTAAGAAAACAAACACCAATAGCAACCAACTCAGCTAGAATGCTTTGAATTTTTCTAAGGTGTGATGGTGTTTCTTATTTTGGTTTGTATTCTAATACTTCAACCCTTTACACATCCTATTTGTTATTATGTAACATTCATTATGAGGAATCCCTCAAGAATGCCATATACCCTGGACATAGTGAGAATTCCATCTGTTCAGCAAGATCTTCTCCTCCGGCAGACTAAATAGCACACTATCGTTAAGAAATATTCTCTGGGGCTGCAGACCTTAATTAATTTCATTTTAAATTAATGGCTATGGATTAACGGAACCATGATAGCTCTGTTCAGAAATGTAAAAATGAAAGAAAGGTAGACAATGAGCTATGGTTGGCAATGTCCAGTAAAGAAGCATTTCTTTAAATATATCAACAGTAAGGAAAATAAAAGAGATAGTGGGATCATTGTTTGCTTCAGATGGGGAAATCTTAACAGATGGCCAAGGGAAAACAAATCTCCTTATCTCCTATATTACTTCTGACTCCCAAGACATTTCCAAGAAAATGTTGATTTGAGCAACTTTGACTGGGGAGAAAGACAACAAGGAAGGGGGCACTTTTTAAAGATCTGGTATAAGATCTTCTGTGTAATTTGAATATTTTCAAGTCCCCAAATCCTGCTGAAAGGCACCCAAGTATTGTGAAGGAACTGGCTGAAGAGTTGTTGGGCCTCCATAAATTATTTTGAAGATTCCTGGAAAACTCGGGATGCCGCAGAGATCTAGACAAGATGAAATGTCTTATTAAAAAAAGAAAAAGAGAGGATCCTAATAATTACTATGGTTGCTTTATTATCTACTCTAACGTCAATATTTGAAGAGAAATTGGTTCTAGATGACTTTCATGTAGTTGCCAGCTTCCTCTATCTGGTGAAAATTGTTGAGCAGGTGATCAAGGCTGCAGTCACAGTTTTCCTTGAAGGAAAAGTTGCATCAGGAGCCTTTACAGTCATATTACAGGCTGAGTTGTAGGATAATGGTAGCATGTGAGGAAGTGAAGTTGGGATTCCTGTCTGTGCTTGGAAAAGCTTGAAAAGCAGTTGCAGCCAGGAAGAAAAGCTTGTCATCACATTTCCTAAAGATGAGCACAACTCATATTCTTTTTTTCTCAAAGGGTTGTAAAATCTACAGCCCCAGAAACCCATGCATACGTTCATTCACTCATAAATTTATTCACAAGCATACATGCCAGTGTTCCAACTACCTGTCTAATTGAGCCACATCCTGGAATTTTCAAGGATGTGCCAACATCCAGAGGCAGCCTCATTCCACTTAAGCTCTTAGCCTACAAAGACAAACACTAAGAGTGTGTATGGGGATGTAGGAGGAAAAACTGCATGCAAAGAGGCACAGGCAATGCCTAGAAACTGGCAACCATTACAGGCAGGCAAGAGGAGCAGAGTATCCTGGTTGGAGTCCTGCCTGGAGCTTGGACTCTTGCCTGGAGCTCGGTAGCAACTAGGAATAATCACATTGAGGCAGCACCTCACCCCAAGTAGTGCAAAAAATTTTGGAAAAAAAGGCAAAGGTCGTATGCTACATTATAGATTTTAAGACTAAAGGACTGAGTATAAAGGATTGAGTATTAAAGACATATTTATGTGGCAACATAACCTTGCAAAGCGTAGAAGGGTGGAGTTGATGTAGAGCAGGGGTGTTAAACTCAAGGCCCAGGGGCCGGATCTGGCTGGCAGGGTGTTTAGATCGGGTTGCCCTAGAAACAGCAAAGGACTGGCCCGCAGTGCCTCTCCCAGCAAAAATGGAGCTCGCGAGGGCCATGGGTGGCACTCCTAAGCTCTGTTTCCTCTGGCAGAAAGTGACAGGAGGCCATCACAGCTGAAAACATAGCTCGGAAGCCAGTTTTTGCTGGTAGAGCGCTCGGGCCACCACAGGCGCCCTCAACATGAATGATATCATGCTGGCCACGTCCATCCTGGTCCCCCCAGGTCAAAAACAACCCTGATGCGGCCTTTAATGAAATCGAGTTTGACACCCCTGATGTAGAGTAACAACCTGTTGTTGAAGAAGGTGCATGCTGCAATAAAGCATTGTGCACAGATTTACTATGCTGTGGTATGTCCAGTCCTTGGAAAGCAAAGAATTTTCACATAGCACTGGAACTCTGGAGGAACTAAGACTGGATTGGAGGCAATCATCCTGGTCTTCCTTAATCTTTTAATGTTTTTTTAATACCATCAATCATGGTAGACTTCTGGACTGCCTTTGAGAATGAGAGGCCCTATTTTATGGTGGCTGTCTTTTCTCAGTGGCCAGTTCCAGTTAGTGTTGATAGGAGGGGAGATAATGCCAAAAGCCTCTAATATGTATACTGTAGTGCCACAGGGTTCAGCATTCTCACCTATCCTGGTTAACAACTTCTTGAGGTAGTTGGGTGAGGTTGGTTGGTTCAAGGTTAGCTATCATCATATACCATTTGATTACAGGCTGATCATGTGATTCTGTGAAATCTGCCAGGGCCTGAATAGGGAGGAACAGATTCGGGCTCAACCCTAGCTAAACCAAGTAGCTGTGGGTATTGGGGCCAGGGGTAACTGGATGGGTTTGTATTCCTCATACAGGAATGGAGTACAACTTGTGAGAATCTTCCCAGACTCTTAGTTCCCACTCAAAGAGCAATAACAGTTGTGGCCAGGAAGGTCTTTGCATAGATGTATCTGGTGCATGAAATGTTGAACTGGATTGCCCTCATCATAGTCATTCATGCCTTGGTTGCATTCACACAAAGATTATTTCAAAGGGGCCTGTATATGGCTGCTCTTAATGACCAGTGAGAAACTAAAATAATTTCGAAATGTAGTGATGCAATCAGTAAGGGGCAAAGCTTAATATGCCCAGGTAACATCTTTTCTTGGTGAACTGAACTGGTTGCCAATAGGTTCCTTGGTGCAATTCAAGGTGCTGGTTATTATCTATCAAGCCGCTACATGGCATGGGGCCTGGTTATAAATTTCTCTTGTGCTTTCTGGCTCTCTGTTCAGCGAGCGATGGCATCCTCTGCAAGTGATGTCATCTGATGGGATCCAAAAAGCATGACTTCTCTGTGCAGCACCTTCTGAGAAGGCATCCTCCCAGAGACTCTTGGCCGTTCCCCAGTCTCCTTCAAATGAGCCTTGAAGACCTGGCTCTTCACTCATCCAGCCTTTGGGCCTGGATAAAAGTGGTGTTATATTTAGGGAGGAAAAATATACTACAAGCATACAAGTTGGGGGATACATGGGTAGAAACCACTGATCAGAGAAGGACTTGGGTGTGGACGTTAACAATAAGCTGGACGGGAACAGCCTAGAAGAACTAAAGCAGTCTGGGCTGCCTCAGAAGAAAGATTGTATCAAAAGCATATAAAGCCTTTACTCCATGCTATTCTGCACCAATGAGATCACAGGGCGAGTGGTTCTACCGCCAGTCTTGCTATTCCCCATTCTAGCAATACTGCCCCTCCCCAAACTTTTCTAGTTCTTTCAGGAAAGCCTTTCCCTCCCCCCTCCTTCTGCTAATAAAGGCACATTTATAACCCCTGGGGCTTTGGAAAATCCAGATGGTTTCATTAACAATTTGGCCTCAGGCTACGCAGATCCAAAAAAAAAAAAAAAAATCTTCTCTTGAAATTCTCACAAGCTGTCTTCATTTACTAAAAACAGTCACATTGTTCCATTCCTCATCCTTCTCAAAGGCTGGTCTTCTTTTGTCCCCGTGTTTACTTTTGGGGAATCCCTGTTAATGTGTTGGTAATGGGACTTGCTAGACGTGTCATTCACTGGAACACAGCATAGCCATGCAAATGCAAACTCTTTGGGTAGCACCCAAGCAACTATTTA